AGTGCACAATACAGCTTATACGCCCCCTTCATAAGGCAACCGGGAGGGGCTCAATCAGGCATCATGTGTACAAGTCGAACCACCCCCCCACCTCCCCCGCCCCCCCCACAAGCCAGCAACGGTCAATTCCACTGGCATTCAGATTTCGCCAGTGCTGGTTTGCGATTGTACGCATTTGACGGAATGAGAGGAAAACTGTCGGCCCGGCGGAAAAACCACGGTTACCCGTGTTCAGGGTTGAGGCTCCCCAATCGCATGTCATTCGGACGGGGTTTATGTTTTTTCTGACCGCGGACAGTTAACGGTTCATCAGCGCCTTTGCTGACAGCCGTCAGTTGCATACATTCGCAAATCGCATTTGCGAAATTCGAAATTCGCATGTAGGTGATGTTGTCCCTGTGAAAGTAATTAGGAAGAGTTAGGCTTAGGAGCCTTGGTGATTGAGTTCGAGTAAGTTTAGGTAAGTCGAGAAAGTTGAAAAGAGAAGTGAGGGGTTTCACTATAGAGCGAGGAGTACAAATAGGCAAGAAGGAAAGGTGCACCACCAAACAGAACATCATATAACTACAGTAGTCTACACTACAGGCAGTTACAAAACAATATATAGAAATATATATTATTCTTGACACGCCCCCATAAGTGCCTGTAGGGAAGAATGTGCAGTCAACGCCCCCATAATGGGGTACACCAAGCAGAGTGAAGTTGAAGTAGCAGCAGTAGGCAACCAGTGCAGAAAACAGAGAACAGAAGGGAGAGAGGAGAGAGAGAGGAGAGGAGGTGGTAGGCTCTGGTTGGTCACCCCCTACATCCCCTCAACCTCCCCCTCCCCCTCCCCATCCCCCTCACACTGCTGCAGGAGCAGCAGAGGGGGGGGGGGGGGGAAGCAAACGGAGGAGAATGGGGCCGTAGGGCTAGGGGAACAGACATTACCCATCACCCCCACACCCACCACCCCCAGTCCCTCCCCGGGCTCCCCCACACTCTCACACCCTCCCCCCCAGCGGCAGCTGCAGCAGAGGGAACAAAAGGAGGAGGAGAAGAAGGGGGAGAGGGAGGGGGGGGGCCGACGCACGGCCTCCCCGGGCGCCAAAGCAGGCGGCAGAGGGGGCGACGCCTGCCCCCCCCTTCCAGGTTGCCCCTCCCGTCACCTGTCGAGGCGACCTGAGGGGGCCGCGTGCGGCCCCCGAAGGAGCCGCGACGGGTGACGGGAAAAGGGGGGGGGGGGGTGCACGTGCCCCCGGTGTGCCGCGGCTGACGACAGGGCATGGCCGGGGCGGGGTCGGGGCCGCAAGAGGGCGGGGCCGCAGGTGGCATCGGTGCCTAGGGTGGGTACCGCACGGGCGGCGACGGGCCGGGACGGGCGGCACGTGACGCCGCGAAGGGCGGCGACGGGCTGGTACGGGCGGCGACGGGCCGGGACGGGCGGCGACGGGGCCGCAGGAGTAGGGCGGCGAGGCCGCAGTGTAGGGCGGCGGGGCCGCGACAGCAGAGAGGCGGCGAGGCCGCGACAGTAGGGCGGCGGGGCCGCTTAAGAAGGTGCGGGGCCGCGAGCGGGTGGCGGGGCCGCGAATGAAAGGGCACACCACGGGGCGTGCAGTACACTCAGTAGCAGCGGAAGCACAAGGCCAGGATCGTAACTCTCTCTGATAGCATGTGAAAGTAATTAGGAAGAGTTAGGCTTAGGAGCCTTGGTGATTGAGTTCGAGTAAGTTTAGGTAAGTCGAGAAAGTTGAAAAGAGAAGTGAGGGGTTTCACTATAGAGCGAGGAGTACAAATAGGCAAGAAGGAAAGGTGCACCACCAAACAGAACATCATATAACTACAGTAGTCTACACTACAGGCAGTTACAAAACAATATATAGAAATATATATTATTCTTGACAGTCCCCAACCAGCAAGCTCAAAGCACTCCCTCCCGCCCCTGCAGTGTCTTCGAGAGATTTTCTCCAGACCCGGAAACGGTGATTTGCCGTTGCACACGTAGGCTCAATTTGCTAGCGTGGTCGGACAATTTGATGATAATTGCTCGAGTGGTCTTGCCAGAGGTTTCCTCTGGCTTTTTTTTTATCCGGCACATTACCCAAAACCGGTTTTTAGCCCTGCTTTTCTTACGTCGTTCGTGTCTCTTCCCGCAAAAACTTGGCGTGTGCTTTTCCGCCCGATTTTTTCGGTTGGGTGACGTGCGCGAGGGCGGCCACGTCTGTCAAACATTATATATGTTCTGCTTGTGTAGGCTACAGTGGGTTAGCCTATAGGAGGTACACAATTCTAGGGTTTCCTACTTGTACTCATTTCACTGCTAGTTCATCCATTCCTGTTCGCTTATTCTCACAACGTCACCGTTCGAATACACGACAATAATCAACACGATCATGTTCGGCGAACAGTCGCGCTCATTTTCGGTCCAATTATTGACCAATCCGCGCATAGAGATATGAATCCCCGATCATATACTCAATTGCACGACTGTCCACACGCGCGACCAATTACAGAGCGCGTGTGATTGGTCGACTCTATGCGCGGGCCCTTTTCTGATCTTGCGCGTCCAATCAGGCGCGCTCATATAGGGTCACGCCCATATGAGATCGCGCTACTGGAAATGGAATATATGTTTAAACTCACCAGTGGTACAAAAGGTACACACACCAATATATTAGTGCTTATTCATATGCTGTAGTTTCATTAAACCCTGCATTCATCTAATGAACTTGTTTGCTAAACCTGTGCAGGGGCGGCGGACGACATAATCGATGCCTTTCTGCACAATAACTGATGAGACGTATGGTCAACAATGATATTGCGTGCTCAGTACACATCAAATCTACGTAATATCATTGTAGGCATGCGTAGAGGTCGACATGTCTACAGATACAATAAACCCTATGATTGCTAAATGAATGGACCGTACAGTGTTATAAAGATACAATGGCAAAACACCGGTAGTGAACGTCTCTCGATTCTATTAATATAGTTGTTTATTAATAAAACAGATCGCACATACATTCGAGCACCACATATGCGCGCTCATATAGGTAAATGCGCGGTTTTATATGAGCGCGATCTTACATGACCGCGCCTGATTGGACGCGCAAGGTAAAAAAGTACTTTGCGCATAAAGTCGACCAATCACACGCGCTCTGTAATTGGTCGCGCGTGTGGACAGTCGTGCAACTGAGTATATGATCGGGGATTCATATCTCTATGCGCGGATTGGTCAAGAATTGGACCGAAAATGAACGCGATTGTTCGCCCAACATGATCGTGTTGATTATTGTCGTGTATTCGAACGATGACGTGGCCGCCCTCGCGCACGTCACCCAGCCGAAAAAATCGGGCGGAAAAACACACGCCACGTTTTTGCGGGAAGAGACACGAACGACGTAAGAAAAGCAGGGCTAAAAACCGGTTTTGGGTAATGTGCCGGATAAAAAAAAAGCCAGAGGAAACCTCTGGCAAGACCACTCGAGCAATTATCATCAAATTGTCCGACCACGCTAGCAAATTGAGCCTACGTGTGCAACGGCAAATCACCGTTTCCGGGTCTGGAGAAAATCTCTCAGTGTCTTCAATAGGTGCCACGTGGCTGGCATCGATGAAGTCGAGGCGGTCCTCTCCCCCCCTTCCTTTTTCCCGCCCTTATCCTCCCCTTCCTCCTCCCACCCGTGATGCACGGACGGTGCCGACATCGCAGCCATTATACACCTCGCCTGATGTTCCCGCTTCAGCACGCATTTTTAAGGCCATCGCGGCTCCTCGAATCAGACTCGGCGATGTGCTCCTTTTCGATTCAATAGTGAGCTGCACCCTGCGCTTTGCTTGCTCGCCGCCGGAACCGCCGCTTCTGCGCTTTCGCCTGGCGGACAAACTCGTGTAGATACAGTGAAAGATTCAACGAAGCAAGTTGCTTGGACGGTAGAACCTGGTCTGATAAACTCAAGTGGTTCTCCCAGGTTCACAAGTAATGGGACCATATCTGGCGATTAGTCAGAAGATTGAGCCTGGATATCTGGCGAATCAAAATCTGGCGAATGCGACGGATGACGCGATCCAATGCAGCCGCGCCGACAAGCCGCGACTCGGTACTCCCAGCCCCGAGACACGTCCTGATTCCTGACCTTCTTGCAAACAACTTTTACAGGAGATTCCGCCTGAGATTCCTGAGTTTACGCCTGCGCCGTTGCGACTGTGTGACGCGAGCGTCGCGTGTGCAAGGTTCGCGCCAGTGGCGCGGAATTTCGTCAGCGCCTTGGGTCTTCGCGGCTGAGAGCCGTTTCCCACAAATGCGGCGCCTCGGGTCCCGCCTGCCTAGTTTAAAACCGTAGATAGTATCGCCCATGACTCTCACAACCAGGTCACGATTCCGGTCCTGCTCCATTACACTGCTACTCGCTGCTTCTACAGCTGCGTCTTTCGTGCACTTTGTTCACGTCAGCGGCTGCGTAATAGTCCTGCCTCACGACTCCCAGTTCTTTGAGAGCTCAAGGAGCCTGAGGGGTATATTCCGAAGTAGCGAGACGCCGTGAGCAGAATGGCATTCTTTGATTCTCGCGTCCTGCTTCTGATCGGTACGTAGTCGCTAGTGTGTTTCTGCTTCAAATTGTTGTGTTTCTTCTGCAAACTGCACTCTGATCAAGACTTTTAATGACTGACCTTGGATCCTGATTGGTGGGTCGGATGGTCTGAAATTGCTGCAGGCTGTGCTGCGATGCTGCTGGCAACTGCCCTGGGAGATGACAACGCCTCCTGTGAGTCTCTTCTGCTACCCCTGACGTCATCTCTCCTGTTTACCCCCTGCAGCGATCTCCGCCGCTGCCTCTGCTGCTATTGCTGCTGCTACTCCTGCAGCTATCTCCGCTGCTGCCCCCATATCTCCCCTGCTACTCTCATCGCTTTCACCCCTGGTGCAAGCCATGCAGCCATTGTTTTCTGCTTTCGTAGCTGCTAACGTCTTGATTGCTCCTGCTGCATGCTCGTGTTTGATTCCTAGTTTTCAGCGATTTATGATTCCCATGATGCATAGAAGTGGCTTCAGAGTTCAACAGACCTGTGTTGCACAGATAAGAATCCCACCCTTGACCTTCTGTTCCTTCCCCCCTGCAGGCACCTTTGCAGCAACGCTCCTGGGAGTGAACGAGGTTCCCAAGAACAACTCCAAGGCAGCCAAAGCCTCTGTGGGTGACCTGCGAGGCGTGGGCTACCTGCGCCTCACAATCTACAGGTACTTTCTCTTTCACTCACTGAGTTTTAATTGTCTCATAATCAATCTTCTTTAGGCGCCTGAAAGGTTCTGCGACGTTTCAAAACTCAAGGCGTGGGCTACCCACGCCTCACATTCTATGGGTACTCTCTTTTACTCACAAACTCTATTGCTGAGGCGTCTGGATAAGCAGTCAACAAGTACTGTACATTCTGACTTCATCGCATGAGCTTTGCCGTATATGTGGTTTTAGTTTTAAAATAGTGAATCCAACACGAGATTTTCTGCTGTGATTCATTAAGCTTTTACCTGACCCTTTTCCTTCCTTCTTTTCATTTCTGGGATGATGCTGATGGTGATGCTGACAGCTCTCCAGCATGGGTCAAGTTCCAGGTGACTGTGCGTCGCCTCAAGGGAGAGATGCTGCCCACCAAGACGCACGTGCATTCAGGGAAGAAGGGGAAGACCGGCGACGTGCTTCTGGACCTGCCGTGTGTGTACGCGAAGAAGGGGGATGAATACTGGCTCTGCGAGGGCAGCCTGGGCAAGAACGAGAGCGAGCGCACAGAGGAGCTGAAGGCGGCTCTGAGCAAGATTGTGAAGCGCCCTTCGAGCTACTACGGGAATGTACACACCAAGCGTTACCCCGATGGTGCTGTGCGTGGCCAGCTGCGTAAGGTGTAGCGAACGTGATAGCTGAACGAGATGAAGTGCTGGTTTTGATGATGTGGCTATGGTGCTATGCCTTCATATAGCTCAGTGTGGATTGGTCGTGGATGGAGGCAGTACTGTTTTCTCTGATGAGCCTGACATTGGGGGATTGGCTAGTGATTGATGTTCCTTCGTGTAGTTAAATGATGTTGCTTGTGGGATGGGGGAGGGTGGGTGTGTGTGTTCCGAGTATATTATTGAAAATGTTCCTCAAAGGTAGACTGTAGCTTGTTGGCTTCGTGATTCATGACATGCAGATGCGAGGACCAACTCGTGGATCGCATCCTCGTTTTTAAAACCCGAGTACAGCATGGTTGTTACCCTACTTGTTTGTACAAAACTCTCGCGACTCTGGGACAACGCTTAACGACACTCTCTCTTCATTGGCTTTTGAGCACAGTCGCAAAACAGAACCGAACGTCGCTCAGGTTGGCTCACCGTTTGGCTCTCACATATCTTGAACAGTCGTACTCATGATCGGCCTACTTCCTCTCGTAAGTAGACAGCCAGTGCGCCTTCACCTAGTTCTAGGGACCGCGATTTTTACAGCAACTCCCAAGGCACACATGCTGTCTCGCCAATAGCTGGGCAGCACAAGCCTAGTGTCACCCGATATTTACAAACGTTGTCGCGTTACTCACACGGAACGTTTGGTGCAAACGACAGCTTCACCATGCTTAGGCCCTCGTTTAGCGCTCGTCGTCACCCGCGCTCCCCCTCGCCACCCGCGCCCGCCCTCATCACTCGCGCCCGCCCTCGTCACTCGCGCCTGCCCTCGTCACTCGCGTTAACCCTCGTCACTCGCGTTAGCCCTCGTCACTCGCGTTGGCCCTCGTCACTCGCTTGCCTGCGATTCCGTGCTTCCCCTCGTCATGCGTTTCCCTTCGTCGCGCGCGTTTCCGCTCGTCGCGCACGCGCCTTCTCGTCACGCGCTCTTCCGCTCGATGCGCGCTCTCCTCCCCTTGTCACGCGCGTTTCCCCTCGTGACGCGCACTCCTTCCCTCGTCACCAGCTCAATCATTCAGTCGCAATCTATTGTTCTTTGCCTCACTTGCTTCCCCCCTCCCTCCTCCCTGCTTCCCCCCTCCCTGGGCCCTGCTTCCCCCCTCCATCCCCCCTGCTTCGCCCCTACCTCCGCCCTGCTTCCCCCCTCCATCCCCCCTGCTTCGCCCCTACCTCCGCCCTGCTTTCCCCCTCTCTCCGCCCTGCTTCCCCCCTCCATCCCCCCTGCTTCCCCCCTCCCTAGGCCCTGCTGCCCCCCTCCATCCGCCCTCCTTCCCCCTCCCTCCGCCCTCCTTCCCCCCTCCTTCTGTCATGCTCCCCTCATCCCTCCGCCTTGCTTCCCCCCTCCCTCCGCCCTGCTTCCCCCCTCCCTCCACCCTGCTTACCCCCTCCCTCCGCCCTGCTTCCCCCTCCCTATACCCTGCTTCCCCCCTCCCTATGCCCTGCTTCCCCCCTCCCTCCGCCCTACTTCCCCACCCCTGCGCCTTGCTTCCCCCCTCCCTCCGCCCTGCTTCCCCCCTCCCTCCGCCCTACTTCCCCCCTCCATCCCCCCTGCTTCCCCCCTCCCTCCGCCCTGTTTCCCCCCGCCCTCATAGAGGTGAGAGTCACGCACCAGGTGCCTTCTCGTCACGCGCGCTTTCTGCTCGTCGCACGATTTCCTCCCCTCGCCACGCGCGTTCCCTATCGTTAAGCACTATCCTCCCCTCGTCACGCGCGCTTCCCCTCCGCCACTCCAATTGGGAAGCGTTTGTCCTTATCGCCAACCCCTACCCACGTCGCCATCGACACCATTGTGTGTAGCAACTCCCCCATACGCCCTCGCTCCTTCCAGCCGCAGCGACTCCTTCCATATGCATGCATGAATTGCTTGATTTCCTAGGCTAGGTGCTTTCTTATATTTTATTATAGTTATAGCACCGAGCTAGGTTACGTGCACCGAATTCTGGCCTTTTCGGCTGCCACCGAATTGCCTTCTACCGAATTCGGTAAGGATCCGTTCGGGACGCTACGCGGCCCGCGGAACCTTCGCGTAACACCTGGTTACGGGGCCTTATGTCGAGCCTATATATAGCCTCGTGTTGTACCCAGGTGATTCATTCAATTCGACTCAATTCTCATTCTCTTTTCTGAGCTCGATTTTAGATCCTCACACTTGGTAATCAGAGCCCGTTTACACGCGAAGTTCTTTCGACCGCTAAAAACCAGTCTTAAAAAACCGCGGGGGCGACGCAGTCAAACATCGATTTCGGGTACGTAAAACCGGTTCCGTGTTTTTCGCTCCCCCTCGATTCGGTTTTTCGGACGCGTTGATGTCAGGCATGGAGGGCCAATGCGACAACTACGCGACTACGAGCGACATCGCGAGCCTCCGCACCGACATGGAGCAGACGCAAGCAACGCTTCGTCGACTCGAGGCTTTTCTGACAAGCCAACCAGGGTTCGCCACCGCGGCAGCAGCGAGCGCAGCGACTACAGCACCGACAACTCCAGCAGCAGTGGCGACACCGACATTTCACGGACCAATGGCACCACTGTCGCCGAACCTCGAAGCAGCACGACCGAGGCTCCCGGAGGCGTTCGATCCAAGCGCGAAGGGATCCGACGTCCGGCGATTCGTGGCCACCCTCGAAATTTACTTCGAGGCCATTGGCTGTTCGACCCCGCAACACGACGCAGCAAGGATTCGGCTCGCAGCGACATTGTTACGTGGACCGGCGCTCGAATGGATTTACTACACCGACGTAGCCCGCGGGGAGAAAACGTGGCAGCACTTTCGGGCAGATTTAATCGAGCGTTTCGAACCGATTAATACAACCTACATGGCGTGGCAGCAGATACACCAACATAAGCAATGCAGTAGTGTAACACAGTACACGCAGCAGATAAAGTTTCTGTTCAACCGCATCACCGACCTGACCGAAGGCAAAAAAATCCAGGCGTACACCGAAGGGTTAAAAATGGAGATTCGGCGACAGGTGATCGCGGCGAATTACAACAGCTACAGAGACATCGTGCGTGCTGCCGAGCGATACGACGCACTGACTCGAGGTCAACCCGAAACACGACGCTTCACGTCGAACCGTACATTCGGCACGGAGCGATCGGCACCCCCCACGTTCGCCGAACCGATGGATATCGACAAATATGACGCGAAGCAGCGGCCGACAAAATGCGAATTTTGCGGCGCAGCAGGATCTCAGAATATTATCTTATGTTCTAGCCTGTGGTGGGGTGCTCTATAGCGAGTACAACCCTTCTAGGGTTTGCTATTTGTATCCTCATTCTTGCTAGTTCAATCCTTTTTCTTTCCTCCTAATTTTGTCATGCTATCAGAGCAGGTCGATCCCCTTGGATCGATCCTGTGGGTGGGTTACCACCTCGCTTCCGCTGCTACTTTTTCCTCCCGCCGTGCGCCCCGAGGCGCGCGGCGGTTTTCTGCCCGCCGTGCGCCCCGAGGCGCGCGGCGGTTCTCTGCCCGCTGTGCGCCCCGAGGCGCGCGGCGGGCGTGTGCCTCGCGGCGTTCGCCGCGTCCCGCTCTGGAGGCGTCGCGACGGGCGACGGGGACCCGTCGCGGCCCCGCCGCCCTACTCCGGTCGCGGCCCCGCCACCTTCGGTCGCGGCCCCGCCACAGACCCGTCGCGGCCCCGCCACCTCCGGTCGCGGCCCTGCCGCCTCGCGTCGCGGCCCAGCCGCCTTCGGTCGCGGCCCCGCTAACTCCGGTCGCGGCCCCGCCAATTCCGGTCGCGGCCCCGCCAACTCCGGTCGCGGCCCCGCCACCGACTCGTCGCGGCCCCGCCGCCCCACTTCGTGGCCCCGCCGCCCCACTTCGCGGCCGCCCCCCCCCCTCCCCCCCCCCCCCCCCCCCCTCCCCCCCCCCATTTCCCGTCGTCTGTCGTGGCGACCTGAGGGGGCCGCTTGCGAGCTGTGGGGTGGCGGGTATGGGGGTGGCCGGTGTGCTTTCCTCCCTTTGCTCCTCCTCCTCCTTCGTCTCCCACTGCTGCAGCTGTCGCTGAGGGGGGTGGTTGTGTGGGAGACTGGGGTTTAGGGTTTAAGGGGGGTGCGTGGGAGTGGAGCTAGCGGTGTAGCAGCGGGTGTGTATCAGGGGGGTGGGACTGTGTGCGGGAGGATGAGCGGAGGTTGCCAGTTTGTCGTCAGCAGCACCTGTAGTCCGGGGCGCTGTCCCGGTAGCCCAGTGAGCTAGACTTCTACGCCAGCCGCCCGTGGGTCCGTTGCCCGTCTGCCGCTACTTGAGCCGCGGGGCCTGTTACTCCTGTAGTCCGGGCGCTGTCCGGTAGCCGCTGTGCCAGTCTGCCTCCTGTTGCCCGTGTGTCTGCAGCTTCAGCCGTCGCCTCCTATCTCCTTTCCCCTCACTCTCTCTCCTCCTCCTCACTTGCCCGTTGTGACTACCACTAGCTTTGCTCATAATTGTGAACTCTAAACTATTTCTTCTTGAACTTGTGCTCATATTGTGTGGTGACATTGTGATCCACCCTGAGCTTGTACTGCTTTGCCTGCTCTGCTGATTACACCCCACTTTGGCTATGGGGGTGTGTCAGAATATTATCTTATGTTCTAGCCTGTAGTGGGGTGCTCTATAGCGAGTACAACCCTTCTAGGGTTTGCTATTTGTATCCTCATTTTTGCTAGTTCAATCCTTTTTCTTTCCTCCTGATTTTGTCACAGGACATTAGTTTTTGTCGTGCTACAAAATGAAGAAAGCACGTGCGGCACTCCGGGACGGAAACTGTGGAGCACCCCCGAAGTCAAAAAATGGAAATCGCCAGTAGCCGCGGATCGACCTGGCGATCGCGTAAAGATCCGAAAAGCAGGAAAAGGCGACGACGTGGCGACTTCGGAGCGGGTGAAAAAAGGAGAAAATGATGGCGCGAATCTAAAACGTCACGACCGGCCGGCATCAGGGGAAATCGCCGAGGCGAATGGAGGCTCCGCGAAAAAAGACTCTGCACCGACTGGGAAACTCCAGCCGAACACCCACGAAAGTAAGAATTCGTTAAAAGTATCCTATAAAGATGCTCTAACGAAGAATATTGCTTCTCGTGGTTTTCAAGCCTTCAAAAAATTCAGGGGAGGTCTAGAGGCCAAGAAAAAGCCTTTAGAAATTATTCAGGTACCAGAGAAGTTGGGCAAAGTACTACGGAGCGTAGAAAAGGGTCGTGCGTTCCGTGGAGTTAATATTCTCTCCCCGCAGCACAGTGTTAAGGCTCCTCGTTGCCCACAGGTGAAGCCTACGTAGCTGCCAAGGCTTAGAGGAGACATCCAGGCTCAGGAGAAATTATACAAGCCTCGGAAAAATCCTCCTACCCCCCAGGTGAAGTTGGAAAGCGCTGAGTCAGGTATAGGAAAAAAGGAAGGTATTAAGTTTGATGTACCCTTTGATCCTATTAACGAGACCCTCTTTGGCTACTCAGCGCAGCAGAAACCACTACTCCTCGAGGTGATATGCAATGGGTGACGCCTCCAGGCACTGGTGGACAGCGGTGCATCTCACTCGGTGTGTGACCGCGGAGCATTGGAGAAAAATGGAGAGAAGGCGGAAGAGACCCAGTTTTCAGCAACCATGGTGGACGGTACGAAGCTTCCTATCCACGGCGAAGCATCCCTGCAGCTGCATATAGATGCGTTGAGGTGGAAGCCGAAGCTACCAGTCACCAACATCAAAGGATTAGATTTTATCTTGGAGCGAGATTTCCTGAAGCGGTTCAACCCCAAGATCGATTGGGTCAACAGCAAGGTGTGCATCTACAACAACGGGAAGCGGATAGCTCTGCAAAGCTGGACAGATACAGGGGACGTACCAAAAATGACACTGGCACGGTTCGAATAGACGGTGAACGAGAGTAAAACGGGTTACCTAGCACTGGTTATGGCAGCAACAGAGGAGGAGAAGCCGAGTTCCGAGCTACCTGCAGTAGTAAAGGAGGTCTTGGAGCAATACGAGGATATAATGCCCGACGACCTACCCACAGGCGTACCTCCAGCACGCACCCACGAGCACGAGATCGTGGAGGAACCAGGTGCGAAACCCGTCTCACGTGCACCATACCGACTGAGTCCGACTGAACTGACAGACATGAAAAAATAGATAGAGTATCTACTGGACAGACAACTGATCCGCCCATCCACCTCTCTCTACGGTGCACCAGTTCTCTTCACTCCAAAACCAGACGGCAGTTTACGGATGTGCATCGACTACTGCGCACTGAACAGACAGACAGTTAAAAACAAGTACCCCATCCCGCGCATCGACGACATACGGGACCAACTACGTGGTGCAACAGTCTTCTCGAAGCTGGACCTACGGTCGGGCTACTGGCAGATCAAGATGGCGGACAGCTCGATCATAGATCCTCACACCTGGCCACCAGTATACGTCAGACAATGCCCATCGGGTTTTCTTAACTCCGAGGTGTCCACTGTATTTACTGGCATGCACTTCTTGTAAAATGTCATTCCGCAGGTTCCCCACATGTGGTACTACGATTTCTTTTCCATGCCACCAGAGCTCATGCTCCCACGAGAGATCCTTCGTATTCTGTGGGTTCTGAAACCAGGAATCAATCTGATAGTCTGTGCG